CTCGGCCCTGAGCCGGGAGAGGGGCCCCGGACCTTGACGGTAAAAGTGATGGAGCTCCTGGGAACCGCTGCACCGAGTACGGAGCTCACTCCTGAGAAAAAAGTGCCTTTTTAGGCGTGGCCCTGACCGTTCTGAAATTCAAAAGTTAGCAGGTAAATGCGGTATATCGATGATGTGAATAATTTTTTTAGCATTTATAGTAACAAGTACTTGTGACTCAGAACGTTGGCAGCAGAAATATGTAAACTGGGGATGTTCTAGAAGCCATATGTAATGTGTTTGAGATCCTTGCCTTCTTTGTGGAATACAAGTCTCGTTTTCGTACCAGTCATGTAAGCTAGTTAAACCTGTGTTAGTTTAGACTTTCATTTTTACAGACTGATTGTCTAGTGTCTTAGGACTTGAACAAGTTTGCCTTCCTAGTGTTTCTGCTTTTGTTGATACATGAAATACATGCAAATCTACCTCCAGTTAGCTAAGTGAGCATAAATTGTTGACAAAGCTGTGATATGTAAAAATACAATCAAAAGCTGTCATGCTCGTTTCTAAGTGTATTTTAAAAGCCTTATTAAAAATGAGTAACTCATTGCAAGCCAGTGCAGATAGTATTTGTATTTTTAGATCATTTCTCTTTACTTGACATGATCATATTAAGTTTATGAAGGGAGAGAATTTTTAGAAGACTGGTACTGTTCCTAGACAGTAGACTAGTCTGGTAATATGTCTGTAATCTGACTTGCTTAATTCTGTTTTCATCTTTATTAGTCTGTACTGCTGAGTTTGGCACTTATTTTTTAAAGCTTTGGATTTTAGCACAGTTAATCTTGCATTTCTTGGAAACTTCCCCTCTGAGACACCACTTCAATGGCTTGATGGTTTCCAGACTGGGAGGAAGAGAGGATGGGCTGAAACTGAAGAATGTGCAAAACCATGCTAATTGGCAGTTGCATTTATTTAGGCAAAAGTATTTTCACCACTTCTATCTACAGAGAATGTAGCATCGTACTGGATTGCTGATTCTAGTTACACAGAAGTCAAGCACTCGGTGTGCGTTCTCCAGTGTGTCCCTCAGTATTGCCATCTTGACTGAGTTAGTGCAAACCATGCTCATGAACAGCTGTTAGGTCCTTGGTATCATAGGATGAAGGGATCCAGGCCTTATTGTTTGAGAGCAAAGAAATAGATTTGCATCTAATCAGAATGCAAATATATAAGCACATCTAACTGCTGTGACTGTGATTTGGGGGAAGCTTTGAAAATAGGTGACCTATAAGTAATTTGTAGCAGTAGACTAACTGGTAGCTTTATCTGTGTAAGAGTGAGATGATATGCCCTTTGGACCCTTAAACAAGCTGCTGAATCTACTGACCTTTCAGGAGAACAATACCTTTTCTTAGACTCATGTATGGACTTCCTTGATTAGAGGTAACTTTTGAAGTCTAAAGTGCATAAAACTATAATGAAACTTCTGTTTAATGGACTTGAGCCTCAGTAGGATGCTCTTGTTTGGCAGGAGAGGTATAAAGAAGAGTTTCTGGGCTTTTATGCACTGTATGCAGGCAAGAGTGTGTTTAAATAAGTAACATAACTGTACAGGATTTTGAGTTCTAGTGTGTGTTTCTTTGTAAAGTGTGTTTTAGTTCTTCTATCTAAGTATTGATACTTTCACCAAAGTCTACATCAGAAGCTGAGAAAAGATGGTAAATGCTTTTCAAAAAACCTGTCTAGCACAGTTTAAATGAAGCCAGAAATGTGGTTGGTATAACTAACCAATGTTCTGGATTGCATCTGATTAGTCTGGCTTTGCTTTTCGTTTGATATTCTTTCCATCTGTCTTTTTTCTACCTGTTCACCTTCATGGTTCAAAGTTACTTCATATCTCTTGTCTCTAAACATCCTTTTTTGGATGTCTGCCAAGCCACCTGGTTCCCTTCTGTCTTCTTGAACATATTGTGCAGCTGCTGTTTTACTCTATTTTCTTGAGACTTGTTTTTTTCCTTCTCAAATCATTGGCTTTGTATCATCTCCCAGTAAATACATACAGGTTGTCTACTTTCTGGTAGCCTTTTTCTCCAGAAAGTCTACTACTTTCCCACTCTTTTGTAAGAGAACCCAGAAAAATATTTGAAAAGTCATTGAGAGGAGTGTCAGGTTAGGACTAAGAACTGCATTTTGGCCACTGTATTTTGGATTTGCCATGGATTCCTGGAATCAAAGCTCACTGCAAGTTAGTATTAAATACTTATGTTTTGGGTGCTATGGAAAAACTGTATTACTTTGTGAAAGGAAATCACAATGTGACAGAGGTACAACTATTTAAATTCTAGAGTTACTGCAGTAAGTTATGAAGCGTGCTACAAATAAAATTACTTTTAAAATCTCTGGTACCTCATCCCTTTACTGCTATCTGCTATATTTGGACTGTATCTGTTTTTGAAAATTCTTTCTTTAATGGTGAGACAGACATTTTTTTTTCATTAGAGCTGATTTGCATTTCTGGTTTGTAAGTAAACCAGAAGTTTCAGTACTTTTTCCTCTTATAGTAGAGGAAGAATAGGGAAAAATCTATTGCAGAAGGGAAACTTGAAAACTTATTAATGAACATAATGAAGAGGATGCAGAAAGACAGTGTAGTAAAGAAAAAGTGGGTTGAGTAGACTGGTGTTCTTAGCGGGCTGTTAGAAATCAAGAAACTTAGCTTCTCTAATCCAGTATCTAGCTTTATAAACCTGTAGAAAACAAATGCTGTCACTTCTTCCTGTAAGAACACTGTTGTAAAACAGTAATTGTATGAAAAGGCAGCATAGTTGTATAACACCCTGAGTGATTGAAGCACAGGACTCCCTAGTTTGTGTCTTACCTGATAGGTTCTGAGGGTGACTTTAGTTTTGACAAATATATGAACAATTTCTTTAAAATAAAGAACTGCTTTAATTGTAAATTTCAAAATTGAATGAGTCCCTAAGAATGATAGCATGAGTAAGACTTTCATCAGTGATGCTGTAGCACAGGTATTCAGGTTAAATTTTTGTAGCCTTCATCCTGGTGATACCAGCTCTGAATTCAAACTTAGGGTTTTAAGCTTACTCTGCTGTTTTCTTGCTTGTTTGTGCAACCAAGTATATCTGACAAGACTCCATCATTGCTTTCCAGAAGTCCTGAAAATAATTAACAGAAATCTCCATCTTAGTTGCCTGTTGCATTTTACATCAGTTTGTTCATAGCTTGAGCTGTAATTTGGATCAATGGATCTTGATGGTGAACTATACATTAAGAAGCATAAAGCTGCCAATTTTTTTATTGAACCTTGTATGTTACGTGTTATTGGTACTGTTGGAAAAGTAGATCAGTTAATCATACTAAAAGGATGATTAGTGTGCCTGAATTTGTAGAAAATGAAACATGTTTGCTCATTCAAGTTAGCTGATAAACTTACCTTTCTCTTGATAGAGGTGGCCTCAGCAACATGCTGTTTCAGTGCTCGCTACCTGATACTATTGAGACAGTTGCAGATGAACCACGGAAAGTTCTCCTGCGCTTATATGGTGCAATCCTGCAGATGGTGAGTACGTAGAGTGCTTTGGGAGTGGGAGGGCTTCTGTAGCTTAATTGTAATATGTTTGGAGTTCATTTGTGACACACTGCAAGTGTGTGCTGCTTTATCTTTTTGGAAATGTGTTGTAATAGGGTAAATGCTAGTTTAAAGCAGTTTTCTTTATAGTTTGTTATTGTCTAGAACTTGCACTCCTTTCTATACAGATCCTGACTGGCGTGTACCAGCTGAAGTCTCATTTGCTGTCTGTTTGATCAGTAATGTTTTGTTTATGGTGTTAAGTTTGGACTGTGGTGTTTTAGAGAAGTTAGTTTGCTTCTGTACAGTATGTAGAACTTTTGCATAACTAGCAAGATTGCAGGAGACTGAGCAGCTTAATTTTAATCTTGATAGCACTTATGAGTCTTGGAGATAAAAGTTGAAGGTTTTGTCAAACTTGTGCAGTGCTCAAGCATTTTTCTTAGATCTCATGGGTAATTGTGTTGCTGGAAAATTTGATCTATAGTGTTAGAATAAAAATGAAGCACAAACATCAATACCGTACAGCCATCTCATTCTAAAACATGCTTTTCTAAATGTGTGATATGCCTTGTAGTTGGCATAGAAGCTTAACCAGATGTTGTTTGAACTCTTCTACTGTTACTTTTATTTGGTTAGTAAAATGTAAATAGCATTGAAATTTGTCACACCTTAAGAGAAGTGGTTGGCAAATCTGTTTCAAATTGTAAGGTTTAAAATCAAGAATATATTGTAAAGGTGCTTTCTTCTAAAGCTTACAGGCTGTTACTGTAGGACTGTACAGCATATCTTCTTACCCATCTCTGCTACACACCTGATTATATTGTAAATAAACAAACATAAGTGTTCAACCTTATGAAAAATTGCAGCTTCATAAAATTATATTTGGATGTTGGCAGTTATTTCTATTTGACTTAGAGGGTCTGGTTTTATTACCCATTAATTTGGTATTTTCCAGTACTCAGTTGCTTTGAATAACTGATCCAATATCTGCAGGAGATTGACTGTTCCTGAAATTTCAACCCATTCTTCCTGCTTCTGCTGCCTTGACCAAACTTACTATTAAAAATCTCATTGGATACTGTCACTTTAAGCTTTAAAGTGTTCATTTATTATACTATGTGAGGTATTAACTTTCCCATGGTAGCAAATTTTACCAGAAATATGTAAAAGATTCCAGTGGTGTGAAATAGCATGAAATGCTTGGCTATAACACCATATGTATGTTGGGAAAGTTAAACTGTTAAACCAGAAAAATGTGTAGAAGTTCATTAATTCAAGCTTAAATAGTGTTTCCTTTAAGAGAAACAAAAAGCAAAGTGAAAAAATGGTGGTGAGAAACTTTTGTTTTCGAAATGACTCCTAGGGTTGATGCTAAGAATTTTTTCAGAATTATTAATGGCTTTAATGTAATGCTGACTTAATATGTAGAGGGCTTGAGTAGGAACATGGGCTGTAAAACTGCTGTAGAGGTAGAACTACTGTTGCCCAAGAGCTGTGAAGAAATGTGGCCTTTCTCTTGTATTTCAAAGAAAAAGTAAAGTAGACTCTGGAATTTGGTTGCCCTCTTCTTCCCTCGGGGTTTTTTAACTTGCCTTTTCTGTGCCCCTATCCACTGAAGAAATCAAAATAAAATTTTGGGCTCTAAAATCAGAACTAATTCGGTTTGAAAATTGAAAGTGTGTTCATAACTTTCTAACCTTTCTACTCTTGGTGTTGAAGGATCTTTTGAGATGTCTAACTTCCTTTATTTCCTTAGTGGCAGTGAAATGACTGCTCTTGTTGGTGCAGTTCACTAAAGGTTAAGTAAGCAGAGAAAGTCCCAAGGTAAAACTTTCAGATTGCATTGAGGTTCACAATTTTTGTCAACAAACATTTGTCTCTTCCAGCCCCTCTACCTTTAAATGCAAGTTAAAATATAAGCAAACTGTTTTATTGGGGTATTTTGAAAATCTCACTTAGGATTCTTATGAATTTCTGGGTGGCATAAGCAGAATCTTATGACAAGCCTGTTAAGAGGGAGCAATTTGATATTTTTTTTAGTAATATTGCTTAAGTCTAAAGCCCATAGAAATTAAGGGACACTGCTTAAGTAAGTTGTTTTGAGATTGTATACTGAAAAGTCACAACTTAATTCTCAATGCCTTAATTGTAACTGCCACTGGGTATTAGTAGTTACCACTTGTTTGTTTGAGCCTTTGTAGCATGTTTTAACTCTTGTCCGTTTTACTTTGTTTGAATTGGAGCACAAAACAGTGATAATACCATCTCTTCTTATTCCTTTACTGTAAATACTATAGATCTGTAGCAATCTGCACCAAATTGTACATGGAGAAGACAAGTTTAAGTTAAAATTTTGAATAGAAATAAAAAATAGATACCTGTTACTAACTTAAGAATGAGTGATACTGGCACTATAATTCTCTGAGCCACCTTTTAAAGGAACCTCTTTTGCAGTTTGAAAATAGCCCCAGTTTGCTTATTATGAATCTTGGAAGACACAAATGTCAGTACATGAAACTCATCCAATATAAACCATGCCAGTTGGCTAAAGCTGCCACACAGGGAAGGCTTTGTGCCTTCCTCTGTCATAGCTGATATGTTTAAGCCAATTTTTTGTGTGCATGACTGTTTGGGGGGAGTTGGGGGGAGATGAACTGAGCTGTCGTGACCATTATTATGAATGGTCGCACTGGCATGGATGTTTAAAAATCAAGGACTTCTCTTGAGTATATCCTTGAGCAGAACTTTTTTTTTAAGACAAATATTTGTGCTTGTGACAGGTTAAAGTACTAACCACATTAAAACCCAAATGTTTGAGGCACAATGCAGATATGTTCTACGATGCAGATATGTTCTACATTGAAAAAAAGGAAACGTCTTACTCTGCTTCACTTATTCTTGCTCCAGCTTTGTTGCCAAATTTAAAGGGGAGCATTGAAAGTAAAACTTCCTCATGACAAAATGTTTTTCACTGTTGGCTATATCAGTGTTAAAACAACTGAAACAAAAGGTTCTCCAACAATATGCCATTTAATGTCCAGACTTTAAGATTGTATTTCATATCAGATCACTACAGTGTTTCTACTTAAATTTAGAACAACCAAAACTTCCCATGTTAGAAATGCAGATAGGATTTCAACATAAGATAGCATCAACAAAAAAAAGCTCAAATTAAGGTGAATTTCTTTGAAGTTCACTGATCAAAAGGTAACTTGGGGATTGATTCCCATTCTTCTACACATGTCAAAAGAACCTTGAACTCTGATTCACTGGGGCTCTGTTACTTTGCAACAGCCAAAACAGTCTTGTTTATAAATGAGGAAAAACAAACCAGTATACTTAATGTTCCTCTCTGGTATCTCAATTTTTATGTGAGCAGATGCAAAATAAGTATAAATGGTTGCCACAGTTCCGTGGTAAATCTTTTTCCATACCTGCCTTGCTGCCTTTTATTTTTTGTAACTAAATAAAATGCAGACTGCTGTGTAACTGTAATTATCAACGTCTTCTGTGGTTGTTGGTGTCCATGTCTGTTTGTAGCATGGAGTAACTACAAATCCCTGGCACTGGCAGACGGCTTGAAAGAAACCAAGCACCTCTTACGGGGATATATTTGTGTTGGGTGGAGTTAAGGGTATTCTGGGGGTAATGTACCACTTTAGTTGTATATGCATGTGTTCTCTGCTGCAGGCTTGCCCATGCGATCGTGCCTAGAGCACTCTGGTTTCCAGGTGACAGACACGATTCACGGTATAGTATGAGATCTCTGAAGTTGGAGCGTTCTCTACAGCTTTCATTTTCTTTAGTACTGGATTTCATTGTTTTAAAAATAAGGTTTAAGTAGCACCAGCTACTGTCTGTGCATCTGAATGTTTACACCAATAACAAAATATCTAAGTACTGCCCCTTCCTTTCCTCTGCTCCCTCATAAGAGAATGGTAACTTGAAATGAAGAGGATTAGAGATGTCTTTGTGGCTTTTGTAGGGCTTGAACTGAGAATTGTTCTTCACATGCTAGGTTCTAAGACTTCAGCAAATTAATATTAGTTCCTTCAGGTCTGGCAGGGATCAGTTACCAATAGCAGACTCTTAGAAGCAGAAATAGTTATTGCTGAATCTCAGATTGTTTGTGTTCCCATACCCTGCAGTTCAAATCAATGTCTTCCAACAGCTTCTAGAATTAAGAACAGTTTCCACTGCAGAGGTTGCCTCTAACCTCTTGGGCAGTTCCTTGTAATTTTGAAATTCCTTGGGATTTGAATTCCTAGACATTTGTGTAAATAGAAGTATTGCAGTATTTTGAAGTCTTGAAAACTACTAAAGCTGAGTAAACTAAAAAGAAAAAAATAGTGAGTTATAATGTAAGATTTAAATTTGTGGGCAGAGCTAAGGGTTATTTGGGAAAAAGAGTTGAGTTTTCTTCTTCCTGCCAAACATCATTTGAGATTTTTGATACAGAGCTCATCTTCCAGCTAAAAGAGAAATAAATTGGGGACATTAGGGAGAAAATTATGAAGAACTCAGTTTTCTGTGTCAAACTGCCAGATGTATAAACACTGTCTGGTCATATTCCGATCACAGATCGGATAATGTGCAATGTCTCCCATTCAAGGATGTTCATCTTATACCTGAAGCTTCCTGCCTTAAATTCAGTTTACATGATCACAAAGTAGACTCTATAACAACTTCTGTTGTCTCTGTTCTCCCTTACTAAAATTGTAGTGAGCTTTCTTAATCTGCTTTGAGAATAAACCTTCCCACAATAAAAGCACTGAACAAATACTTAAAGAAATCTGAAACATGTAGAACACATGTCCATTTCTAGTTAATACTTCTGTATAGAGTGAGTGGTTAAAAATATCCAGCAGTTACTCAATCATTTGCTTATTTGGATAATTAAAATCTCCTCATTGCTGTTGAAGTAAATAGCTCCCAGAATTGGACATAAGTTGGAGTGAGCATTAGAGTTTATGGAGAAACTGAAGCTTTGATTGCTTTAGCCAAGAGCACATGAGCTAAATATGTAGATCAAATCCCTCATAGTATGAGATGTTTCACTTTGAACCACTGTTCTTATGGGTGATTGCGCAGTCAGAAAACAATCAAATCCTACCACTTCGATGTCTGTTAAACTCTTAAACTTCTGTTACATAAAATTACATTTTACTTCATTCTCATAGACCACACGTACTGGAGACTTCCCTAATTCTAGGCTGAGTACATAGCCACTTGTGAAGACTGATCCTCTCCAAGCTCCCATTCATATTTGCAAGTTATTTACAAATTACTTTGTATTGATTCTCCTCTGGACACTAATGCTTCATGCTGAGGGAACAGAAAAGAGGAAGGAATGCTGCAGAAGTTTCCTTTTCTGATGACTCTGCAGTACACATCCATGTCTCTTTCTAATGGCACAGTAGATGCCATTAGGCTATCTCCAACACTAATTTGAGGTGGACTGTTAGAACTGGCTAGCTCTCTATACAGTATGACTTCTGGAAAGTGAATGCCAGTTCAGGTTCTAGGGAAAAGCCTAGTCTGCTTACCTTCTGATGAACTGAACCATTCTGAGAGCACCATTAATCAGGAAAGACTCCTGGATGGTGAGTAACTTTCTGACTGTTCAAGAAAAATCTGTAAGATGCAAGAGTGGTGTTGATGTAGGACATGCTTGTTCAGAGAAGCCTTCTGTAAATGACTTTAATACTGTCGAGTAGTTACACATTTAGCTTTAATGAATATGTTTTGACTTGATTAATTTCCTTGAAAGGAATATAAACTAGTAGTAGTTTTCATATTGTCTTGTTTTAAACTTACTATCCTAGTGGAATGGGAAGCACTTGCTGAAAGACCATCGATTCATATTAACTATACTTCTTCTATACCTTCTGAAGTACTGTAACTGTATAGCTTGTGTAAATCATTAGCTTGATGTATTGTACTGAAGGCAGCTGGTGTTGCTTAACTGTATTCCATTAAGTTCATACTTCCACCCTTGTTTTGGACACGTTAGAGCTTTGGAACAGAAAGGTATGCACATGGTTCTATGAATCAAATGTTTTGTTCAGAAGGTGGAGATGCAGGCTGCCTTTATGGGCCTCTAAAGCTAGTCCGGTTTAAACAGTCAGTGGTGGAATTGCAACATAAATAGCAGCCACAAACTGTCGCTAATTCTAAGCAAATATTTGCTTTCTCTTCTCCTTACCTTCAGGCCCTTTAAAGGACAAGGTTTTTATTACATCTTGAATTTTAAATGCGCAGCTCTATTAAAAGCATGTGCCATTGAGGATTCAGTTGCTGAGGGTATGGTTTGGTACTCTGAAACTGCCTTATAATGACTGTTAACAATCCTAGCACAATACATTATGCATGGAATTTGTTAAAGTTTTGCTAGTATACTGCAGTTCTTACTGAGACATCTTTAGCTTACATGGGCAGTTCATTTGAAGAGAAATCTTGGATTTGCACAGCCAGTGGTATAGTGTAGATATACCCTAGACAGCATACTGTAAATAAGGAAGTTCTAGTCACAAAAAATTTGGAAAATAAGGTAATAGAAAAAAGCAAGTGCTTGGCAAGCTTCATAACATGCCTCTTCTAACAGTCTTTCTAAGGTTTTTATCTCTGTCATGCATATATTAAGTGGCTTACCTGTAAGAAGAATATCATTCCAGATGTCATGCGGAGGGACTTAGTTTTCTCTTAATTAAAAAATGTTCCTCTATGTATAGGATATATTGAAATCTTGTTTTGAAATAGTGGAAAACAATAAAAACATACGTGAAAATCAGCTTTCAGGCTATTTACAGGAGTGAGTTGGTCTCAGTGGCACATCCTTTTGAAAGATTTTGGAGTTGTTGAAATAGTGTGGTGGTCAGAGGTCAGATGGATACTAGTGCTGTAGCTGTCACAGATCAAGACAGTGTTGAGACATGTAGTTAATTGTAGCTGGCTCTTCTACTCCCTTTGTTCTGGTGGTTGCAGGTTAATCATGTTAATTTCATCTTCTCATTGTGTTTGGTTTTTCTCATTCATAGAGGTCCTGTAATAAAGGAGAGTCTGTACAATCTCAGAAGGAAAATGACTTGCAAGTGAGTAATTAAATTTGCTTATTTCACAGAATTTTGTAGATGATAGAGAAATGTGGTGATCCTGCTTGTTCTAAACCATTAGTTCCTACACATAGTGCCTGGGCTGTGTTTCTAGAAAATGAAGAAATCTATTTACTCAGAGAAGTAATATTATAATGAGTGTCTGCACATAGTTTGGAGAGATTTAAGCATTCTGTATTAACAAGAAACACACCCACCCCTTAATTCTACCCTAAATGGTTTCTTACCATTTCTAGCATTGGCATCAGTACTGCTATTTCTAATATTAGGCTCTTTCTTTAATAGAGGAAGATCAGTACTCTGTTTTACCTAATCTCTATACTGTAATACATTGAGGAAGTCTTCTGAGGAAAGTGTATGGAGCTGGAGAGAACTTCTTGAACATTAAGTGTTTATCATTAGCATTATGGTTGGATCATCTGTGTTCTGCACACTTCTTGTATTTGGAACCATTTCTGCTCATGCAGCATAATGTTCAGCCGAGTGTAATTTTTCATAAAGTCACTGGAACAGAATTTGGTAATTTAAATTTCTACCCTGTCAGTATTTTTTTCAGTAAGGGGTAACATTGCAGCATGTTAGCCAGACGCTTTGCTTGTGCTATCATTTTTCAGCTTTGTAATGGTTTTGGCAGTGATTAGGGAAAAGTAGTTTTACTCGTTTGATAAGTGCTGCTTTTTTCCCCTTGTATTTTCTGCCTTCTGGGAATGCCACCTGAAACAGTTCAGACATTTGGGTTTTTTCTAGTGAGTTGAAACTGGTTTTAAAATTTTTGTTGTTGAATGATTGCTTTTGAAGTTTTGTTGAACTTTCAGTTAAGTTTACTGGAACAACTTCAGTCAGTTGAAGACTGAACTGAAAAATGTGCTGGTTTGATTCCTCAGGTTTTTTGAGATGAAAAATGGAGGTGGCTTGATTTCTCTCCACTTCAATCCAGTAAAAAAAAAAGTTCCTAAAGTTTTATGAAAGAAAACAAAAATCCAAACAAGTCCCACCCTGGTCCCAGCAGCTCATAGAAGTTTTGCAGTACAGGAAGCAAGGCTTTGAACTTCAGAACTGTCTTCATTTGTTGCCTGAAAATAGTGATTCTATGGTGGTAGCTTATTGTTTTCTGCTATTAATCTCATAGTGCTGGAACTGCAATGTTGGGTCAGTGTATTCAAAACTCCTGTCAGTATGGATTTGTTAATTTTCTTGAGTCTAAGTAAAAATTCTAGGTAGGTTTGATCAGAGGAGTTAATGTCATCCTCTGGAGAGAAGAAAAACTTCTGGGTAATCCCAAAATGTTCTGGATAGCTAGAAGAAGCTGTTCAGAGCTGCCTGGTGTTTGACAACTGTTACTAGAGATGGGATAGTCTTCTGTCAGCTGATAAGGTATTTTAACAGGGATTATCTCTGTTTTACCTTGGTTTTGCTATAGTTAGGGGTAATTTTCATCAAAATAGTAATATTTAATGTATTTTATAGTGAGCTTTTTGTTGAAGCAAGAATAAAGCAGAAGCTTCAGTTCCAGCTGAAGTATAGAAAGGCTTTTGATCTCTCCTTGCCTCAATGGGAGTTGTGTGCTGGAAAAGTCTTGTAATTGTGTTTGTAATTCTTAAGTTTGAAATGCACCATTCAGCTCCAAGCATTCATTTAAAAGTGTGAGTGGTCAAATCTTCTCCAGAACCTTGTTTTAAATACAAGAGCTCATGGTTACATCTGTTTGGTTAAAATTGAGGCCTTCGGAGTTTAAAACAACAGGTTGCTTTCTTGGCAGTATAAGTATATTGCAAAGTATTTGAAGGTATTGCAATACATAATTTACTTAGTTACAATGCTTAATACTTTAAAAAAGTAGCCAGGTGTATATTTAACTGAACAGTTGGATACCTACATTTGTTCAGTGTCCATATGAAGTATGCTACAGAATTTTCTAATGTCCTTTAGTAGTTTATTTCCATACCTATACTTGACAGTAGTGTATGGAGTGGAGACTTGGTAAAAGATCCATCAGGTATTATGAAGGACAAGGCTTTGTGCCTGAGAAAAAATAGATGGTATTGTTCCAGAGTTCTCATGAGACTTGTTCTCAAGTGTCCATTCTGTTACAGAAGTAGAAGGTCTTTTGGTGCTTTCAACTTTTTTGTCTTTTAAGAGTCAGGTGCCATAGCATTCAAACTTGAGTATTCTTATACTGCTGCCTTTAGATAATATTTGCCTGTACTTTTTAATCTTGAAGTAGATCTTTCATGGAGAGATGCAGCTGTCCTTGTTAACGCTGCTAACACAGAAGTTTACAAACTTGTAATCTTGTAGTTGTGGATTATCTGAAGGTTCTAGATTTTTAGGCATGTCTTAAAAGACTAGGGCTAGGCAGGCATGTAGCAGAAGTAACCTAGAAGTGCACTAACTGGAAATTTCACTATTTCTGGTTGTCACTTCTGATGCATTAAGGGACATCTTAATGAAGAACATTTCTTTGGCACTTGCTGTTATCAAAGTATCACAAGTTTTTTTTTCGGTAAGATGGGAAAACAAGGAACTGATATCTTAATGGGAAGAGCCAACAGGATTGCTGTAATCAGACTTTTAAAATACCAGGTATTGTATCAGGCACAAGCAAATTTAATATTGGCTAATAATGGAGAAGACTGTATCTGATTTGCTTTTTGGTGCTTGGCATTAGACTTTAGAACTGAACAGAAAAGTTCAGATCTGTGGTGGTGAGGGCATGTGAAATGATTAAAAGTACCTATTTTTTTTGGTGTATTAGTTGTGCTTTGAGGAGCTGATACAGAAAAACAGTGGAGGACATAGATGCTATACATTCATACGCAAATCATCTTAAAATCTCAGTTGATATTCTTGATGACTCTAAGTTAATGCTTCAAACATAGTTACATCAATCTTTCCTACACTTCAATATGAAATGCTAGAATTTCTTGAGAAGATGCCATAATAATGTGTGGGTCAGTAATAAATGTAATTTATCAACGAAACTGCCTGGAATGTACTCAAGAGTGGAACTTGTATAGAAAGTGTTACTTACTGTCTGAGCCTGTGATGACCATAGTAATTGAAAAGACTCTGTAGTCCAAAATATCTGAGAGCTTTCTTAATTTTGTGCTCTTAATTCTTATGCATTTAAGTGTCATGGGTCAGACTTTAGGATGAGTTGCTCAAAAGTAGGGCTAGGCTTAGTAGACCTCTAGGATTTGAGTATAGCTGGATTCTAGTTCACATAATTGCTATAAGTCGTGATTTATATTGTGTTTTCTGTGTTTATTTACAGCTAATCTTACCTATCTAGAAAGCTGTACTTCAGTGATTTTAACTATTTTTGAGATGTATTTCATGTTTCTATTTTTGAACATTCATATTAAAAAGCTGTGTTTATGGACCGAGTTTATTGATGTAAGGAAAATCTTGAAGAAAAGTCATTGAAACTTGAAGTATGTTTGGAGGTAGAAAAGGAAGAATGTTTGTTCACATATATGCTCCTTAGCAGGAGTTCAAGTTATTCTCTTAAGCACATTTAGGTCTTTTTTTTTTTAACAGAAACAAATACTAAGTCATTCTTCTAATTGAAAAACTGGTTAGTTCAGTCATTCACTTCATTCACTTGCATAGTTAAAATGTCCTTTTGTGAGGCAGTGTTCCAAAGTGTATTAAAATAGCCAAGGATAACATTTATAGTTCCTGTGCTGTGCTTCAGTAGGATAAACTCCTTCAGGAAATGAATTTGCAGAGTTCACACAGGTTAGGGAGGAGAGGGTCTTTTGCTTTTTGCAGTTTTCCTTTGACCTGGCCCACCAACAGTACCTATTAAGTAATATAGATTTTTCTCCCCAGCTTTAAAGTTTAAAGCAAAATATTTGTATTGCTCTTATGCTAACGAGTTGTTATTAGTCAAGAAACTTTGGTTAGTAAAAAGCTGAGTCTTCTTTTTAAAGCTAACCCTAAAATTCCTCACTTTGTAAGCAGTTTAGCTATTGTGCACACCTAAGTTCATTTCTGTGCAAGCACCAGCTAATGCTTTAAATTTTTTTGTAGGGGGCAGAAGCTATGGTTCTGGAAAGTGTTATGTTTGCCATTCTTGCAGAGAGAGCTCTTGGCCCAAAGCTGTATGGAATCTTTCCACAAGGGCGCCTGGAGGAATTCATTCCCGTAAGTCCTATTCATAACTAGTTAGTGGGCTGCTGGTAGCTGTTTTAATTGATCATGACAAAAAGGTCTCTGGACTGCCCAGAAAAGCAGGGATGTGGGAATGGAATACTTGGCAGCCTGTAGTAATTGCTAGCTGTAATTTGATACAGTTACAGTGGGTGTTGGAGAGCCCAATTATAGCTCTTGCCAGGAAGAGATATCTAAAAACTCTTCAGCTGTAGCAGAGACTAATAAATGAAGATAAAAAGCCTGTTAGCATAGCATTGGAAGCTATGGAGTAACGCTTTCCTTTAACAGCAACATGAGCAGATGCTTTTGATGTTCTTAAATATTTATACCCAGTCTGCTTTGAAGATAGTCAGTGTGAGATGTGATATTGCCCAGGTCTTGATCTAGAGGAGAATTGACTAAGTCATAAGTAAGCTAGGCTGGCTAACTCAGCTTTTCCAGAGGGCAATTTTGTAAGTTCATTTGGGATGAAAAAAGTATATTGCTTGAGTACTATGGTAGTATTTTATACTATAATATATAAAGACTAGTGTTTCTAATTAATGACACTTTTGTAATTAATCAATTAACTGCATTTTAAGAATACTATATTTTATTACAGAGCAGGAAACTAAGTACTGAAGAACTAAGCTTACCTGACATATCTGCTGAAATAGCTGAGAAGATGGCTAGATTTCATGGCATGAAAATGCCATTTAATAAAGAACCTAAGTGGCTTTTTGGAACAATGGAAAAGTAAGTTATGCAATACTTTAAAGTGTGGGGAAAAAAGGTGACCTGTTGTAATTTTGATAAGCAGATCATTTTTCCTGAATGCCTGAGAGTACAAGCTCTGACTGTACCCAGAAACTGTTTCATAGTTACTTGAGGAACTTAAATTACCTTGAAGAATAATAACACTTTCTTTAGTAACTCTTTTTTTTTAACTCTCTTGACTTTTAGTTTAAATGGTATCTTAGTATGGGAAGATACTTATTGTAACAAATGCTGTACTGTTGTCTCTATTTTTAACAGATATCTAAATCAGGTGCTGAGGATTAAATTTACCAGAGAATCCAGAACTAGAAAACTGAACAAACTCCTCAGTTACAATCTCCCCCAGGAAATGAAAAATCTAAGGTAGGCTTATTTTGTCTACCACTATCTTCCAATTTGCACAATTTCAGTATGACTTTGTGTACTTGTTCAAACACATTATACAGTATAATACCCTATATTCATTTTACTTTACAAGTTGGGGATTGGTTTTGGTTTTGTAGCCAACCTGAGTCTCATATGACTGCAAACTGATATGATCTGACTTGCTGATCAGTGAAGTCCAACTTCATTGTCCTGATCTTGGGCTCCTAATTGAGAAAATAAGGTTTTGCTAGAAGTGAATAGTGCTTCAGATTCTTACAGCAAAACCCATTCTTTACTTGGAAGTGGAACTGAACTTAGTCATTTGTTACAAGATCCTATTTTGCTTTTTTCCAGAGCTATGCTTGAAGCAACTTCATCACCGGTTGTATTTTGCCACAATGACTGTCAAGAAGGTAAGCTGCTAATATTTCATGACCTTGTTCAATGATGTAGTATTAAGCCTTTTCTGGTCACTTGTTTGCTTTCTGAGAGGCAGTCACATTGTTGAGGTACTGTCCTGGCAGCTGACCTGAAACAGTAGCCTGTGTACTCCCAGTGTGCAAGAGCTGCAAAGCAAAGTGCATTGGCTTCAGCAATCCTTTAGGCTAAGTAAGAGAAAATCTAGTATCATATCTGAGTTAGGCCAAGCACATACACATGCCCTGTTAGTACAGGTCAATTGAGATGAGCTCTAAGGTCCCTTCCAACCCAAAGCATTCTGTGATTCTGTAATTGATGGGAGCCTTGTGTGCTTTCTTTTAAGAATGTATCTTTCTTAGCTGTCTGCAATATACATGATCAGGGTAAGATATACTTTAGTCCTTTTAAAAGAAGGAAGATACTGAAAAAGTATAGTAATTTGACTCAGCAGTTCTCAGCTTGTACTGGTAAGAAACATTAGGAAGACCTTACCACTTTTTTTAGTGCTTTTTCTGGGAGTCATGGAGGAAATACATTTTTCTGAGCCAGTTATCTAAAGAGATGGAAAAGGAGGCAGGGCTGAGGGTGTTGGGTGTGCTGTGTTTGTGTTCCCTGTCGCTTGTGCAGTGGCTAAGCTGGGCTGAGCTGGAAGGATGCTATACTAGGACTATATGCAGGGCTGTTTTTTTCTCAGGAGTCCTAGTCTTGTTAGCTAAGACTGAGGAATTGGCCTGGGAGAGGATTTCCCTGAAGGGATAGGCACATAAGAATAGGCAGTATGGCAGGTGGGGGGGAAGCCACTTATCTGAGGTCTGAAGACCTAGCTCAATAGTGGTAGAGTTCAAGGTCTCATCGCTGGTGTGGCAAGGTACAGTACTGGAGAAGTCAGCATGATAGGGCTGGGTCAAGCTTTGGAACCTAAATTTTCAAGCAGGGATGGGGGAGCAAAATATTGTGCTTGTTCTGTCAGTGAAAGGGTATGGTATAGAGAACAGATATACCTGTGGAGAGGGGACAAACAATTGCGGAAATTGAAATTACTCTAAATTTATTTACTAGCTGGCACTTAAGAGGCAGACTCATTGTATTTCAGATGAATTATAGTGACAAAGTGAATTGAAAGACAGATAGAGCAATCTCCCTGTTATAAAGGAAAAGGCTGAACTTTAGTATAAGTACCAGTTGTGCCACATACTTGAATGGCAAAGTGATCAGTCTGTAGCTTTCAGGCTGCTGAAAAGCAATTCCTGTCCCAAATGTTGTGTGATCAATGATAGTGTTATGTAGGTATGAGATGTTGCATAATTTGGATGTTTAGCTGTGGAAAGAAACAATTCAGCAAGGGCTGCTAAGGCTTACAGTGTCACTTGAGTTGGCTGCAAGCTAAACACTGGAGAAGCAGGACCCTTGAGAGAACAAGTCTACCTCTGCCTGTACAGAAGAAAACTTCCTTGCTTTCAGTATGCCAGTATACAGCTGGTGCAACTTGGCTTTTCCTATCATTCTTCTGTGCAGATGTACAGAATGTCTGGGATTATTTGAACAATATTTCTTAAGATAGAGTATTGCTTTTCTGTACTTTTCCTGGGACACTATTGAATATGCTGTATTATCTTAAAATTCTCAGGTAATGTCTTGCTTCTGGAAGGCAGAGAGAATTCGGAAAACCAAAAGCTGATGCTCATTGACTTTGAATACAGCAGCTATAATTACCGGTAAATTGCTTTTTTTTTTTTCTATTTCGCAGGGAGGTGTATTACTTTCTACATGCTGCAGTGAGATCAAGTGTTGCACTGCTGATTCTTTTTATTCTAGTGAATTGTGTTCTGCTCTATTAGTGGTGGACAGCAAATATAACTAGTAGAAACAGCTCTGGTCCTGATGGCATTGAGTATGGGCTTACAGTAGAGTCAAAATTGTTGGAGCTCTGTTGTCCAGACCAGTGGGTTTGTTTATGCATAAATAGCTTCTTGCTTTCATGTCAAAATTTCTTTCTAGTGGTGAGATGAGGAGAATGGTAGATTGTGTGAGGACAGGTTTGCTTTTGCATTTCTTTTCTTTAGTCCTTTCAAATGGCTTTCCCATCTGTGCAGATGAGAGTAATCCTAGAAGGTTTTTCACTACGTGGTTACACAAAATGCTTTCTGTTCTTACCTCAGTCATCTAGTACCTGTGTTTAAGGATGATCTAACTGTGCAGAGTCATTGGGATCATTAAACATTAGCATAGCTGGAACATAATGGAACCCTGAATTCTAGTAATGTGAAAGTCGGATATGTTAAATACTTTGCCTGCAATAATGCTAACATTAGAGATGGGTCTGACTTTGTGCTGATATGTAGTGCATATTCAAGTATTTTAACTGTCTCCATTGGTATAAAACTTGGCAGCAAAGTCTAGTATTGTAGCTGGTAGCTTTCATTCTTAACTACCTATCTTTACTAATTGATTTTAATAACTTGCAAAAAAGTTGTATTCTAGTAATGAGTTCTCTACCTCCTGTAGCAAAACTGCAGTAAGATCTAAGCCTTGTGCTTTTAAATTTGGTTTCAGATTTGCTTATGCAAAAACAGATTTCTAGTATGCAAATTTGAGGTACTCTATCTTTTTCAGAGGATTCGATATTGGAAATCACTTCTGTGAATGGATGTATGATTACACATATGAGAAGTACCCATTCTTCAAAGCTAGTGTTCTTAAATATCCTTCAAAGAAGCAACAGGTAGGCACATAAGACATAATAAAATGCCAGTGTCCACAGCCTTCAAATCTTAACCCTCTCTTCAAATTCTGTTTTGGACTTAATGTTGTCCCAAGACCTTTCTTCCTCCATGACTTCCTTAAATGTATCTCTGTAATCCTGACTACCTTTGCTTTAAAAATCATAGAAACTTCATCATAAATATTCTATCCTGAATATCTATTATGTGCTATGTAGCTATCCACCACAAAAAGTCCAGTAGTGGTGGACTGCAGCTGTGAAATTAGTTGGCAGTAGCAAAATGTTATTTGTCCTAATAGGGCTTTTCTTAAACCAGACTTCCAAGCAATTAATAGAACCACTATTAATCTCAAAGCTAACTCCAGCACTGTCAATGTTTGGAAAAAATAAATGACAACTTATTAAAAGGTGTGCCTGCTTCTAAAAGAAGCAAATGTGTCTTGAGATGAGTTGTAACTCTCTTGTTTACTTGCCTTCTAGCTTCATTTTATCTCCAGTTACCTGTCTGCATTCCATGATGGCTTTGAAAATCTGAGCAGTGAAGAGAAGTCCAAAGAAGAAGAAGAAGTGTTGATAGAAGTTAATAGGTAACTTGTCTTTCACAACTGCATCTTGAAACTTCTGCTGTGATACCTATACTTGTACACCTCACTGGGTGGAGAAACTTAGCCAAGAAATCCATTGTAATCTTTAGATATGTGGCATATGCTATTAGTGCGGTTAAACAAAATACTACTCCATGGGGATTTATTTTTATAATTTATTTTTATTTTTTACTCATGGATTTATTTTTATAATGTCATACTTGAAGAAAATGTGTGGACATCTCCAAACTAGGGAATGCTTTTGCTAACAGGATATTGAAATAAGATGTTGTGACTTTGCTGGGTATTTCAATAAACATAGCCTTGTAATTTCAGGTTTGCCCTTGCATCACACTTCTTCTGGGGTCTGTGGTCTATTATACAAGCAAAGATCTCATCCATTGAGTTTGGTTACCTGGTAAGTTACTTAATCATAGTTTCATGTAACTAAAAATGTATACTCTAAGTAACCTGTGGTACATTATCAGAAAGTAAATTAAATGGCCTCTCACAGCAACTAATATCTTCTAAGTGGAGTAAAACTCTTTAAAATTAATTTGTTACTAGTATGTGCTCTTTGCAATGTAAAGAACATCTAAGATCATAAAAACTTCAGAAATTCTTCCCATTGTTACATAGACACTATAGCCTTATGTGTCAGACCTTGCAGTGGCATGATGCCTTACACTGAAGTAGTCTGCAATACTTGAGAAACAGATCAATTTAACTCTTGATAAATATTTAGTGTACTGTAAAGCGATACAACTTTCAAGTACATTGAATAGCCTGCAAGTGTTGCAGAAGCCATCCTTTTTAGTGAAATCTGACCTGGTTAGTTCCTATTTCTTTCTGACATGCTGGCAGCAGCTAATAGTGTTAGAGTTAAAATAAGATTGAAGGAAACTTTAAGAGGCCAGAACACCTCTGGAGAGATTATCCTTCCCAAATAGAGCTAATTAATGCATTGAGATGATGGATTAGGAAGGTAACACAGTTAATACCTTCATTATGCTTCCCCATCGCAAATAGAACTCCACTGTATTTACTTTGAGTATCCCTTATTTCTCCAGGAATATGCGTTATCCAGATTTGATGCATACTTTGATCAGAAGAGGAAGCTGAAGGTGTGATTGTGGGAGGAGTGGCCTGTTGGTTACTGTATGAAGAGGGCAGCTGGACAGAACTTACACTGTGCTTAGGCTACTGTATCTTAATGAAGGTGTCACTGAATTCCAGTTCCTTGGAATGCAAGTGTACAGTATTGAAGACTGTATAAAAATGACTTGTTTACAGTTTCATAAATACTTGGAATGTGATTGGGAGGCAAAAGTAAAATACAACAGTGCAATATCTTTAAATATTTTTGATCTAGAAGGTATTTTATATTATGGGAGAAGCTTACAATTAAGTGTCAATACCATATACATCAAAGCAAACAGTGTTACTGCAAGTACATTTGCTGGGAGGTGTTGGCATTATGCTTTGTTGTAAGCAGAACAGTTGTAAAAGATGTTTCATTGTAGACACTGCCTCTTAATGAGAAGGAAAAGCAAAGGAGACAACTGTTAAACTGTGAAGTAGACTTAAAATCTTACTGTGAGATTAGGTTCAACATGCCCCATGAACACTGTCTTCAAAGCTGCTGATATGTTACACCACTTTAACCATAAAGCAACTAAACACATTGAAGCGGTATGCTTTAAAGTGTTACCTGCATATACATGAATGTTTCTCTTAAGCTGGTGTGCCTGTGAAGTATGAATGAACTTTGAACTGGACATTCTGAAGGAGTTTGTCTTGAACTGTTCATTCCATGTCCTTCAAGAACATGCTTTAGCCCAGTCTGGTTGTCTCTTAAAATGCTGTGTCCTGCACAGGGGGTTCTGTGGGCTGGCAGCACTGGGAAGAGTGCCTTGAATTGCTCTAGCAACTCCCCAGAACTGGATTGGCATTGACAATATTTTAATTGGATCCTATCTCTCTTCTTGTGTTGCCACAGTATATGGCTGTAAGAAATACTAGAGCCAAAGACTGCAGAGAACACTTAAGGAAATTACTTTTTTGCCCATGCAATGCTTGTGTAGCTTGGGAGGTGCTTCTCTTGCACCTTAAATTTTCATCATGTTCCAGCAATCCAGTAGAGTGGAGCATCTTGTGGGGAACAATAACGTATATATTGAAACTTGAGTATAATCTATGTACATGTCATCTAAAGATTTCTTTAGATTTTTGGGAGCTTGTTTATTTTGAATGTTATTTGTTTGTGCTTTCTAACACACTGTATTATAAACAATAAACTTCCAAGTCTACCCTTTTTCACTTGTATAGCAAATACTGTTTCAAGCAGCTGAAAAACTGCAGCATTTTATGTACTGTGTAGCATAAGTTGTAAAAGCTGTCATTTTGTTCTCTAGTATAGAGAATAATTTTCCATACACTCAATTATTAATACTTTATAATAAATATAAAGCACTTAAAGACTTAAGAATATCAACTATGATTTTGTTATATCTGCAGCATAAAATAGGTGCTGTTTCTGGACTTAATCTATGCTGGAAGTACTTTCATCCTTGCCTTCGAAGGCAGACTAATTTAAGCTTTAGGCTCAGTGCTGTGGGTTATACCTTCTACTTAAATGTCTTTAGCATTTACTGTATAACTGAATGCTAATAGAAAGCCTGGGGAAGAAAGGTGGTTAAAGCAAGTGATGGAAAGTAGGCTGAAGATCAGTTTAAAGTCTATAGCTTTAGAGGTGGGAAAAGGTTTAGGATTAAGCACTTTACTGTATCTGTCCTGTTAACTACCTTAAAAACAGAGGTGAAAGTTACAAGCGTATATTGAGTTGTACTGGCACACCAGATGTATTCGTAGTATGAATAGCCAGGTAATTTCTCTGGGCTACTGGAGGCTTCATTTAACTGGTACTGTTGCACACAGTAAACCCACTGGGAATGGCAGTGGTAATGAAAGGGGTGGAAGCAGACAGTTTAGAATGTTGCTTTGCAGCTAGTTGAAAAGGACTGGTATGTAATAGGTGTCCATTCTGTAGGAAGCCTTGTTTTGTATTCCAAGGGTATATTCAAGTTCTCAAGAAGCCCATTGAGACTGTTCTCTGACTCATCCATTACACTTTTTGCTTCTCAGAACCAGAAAGAGAAGAAGGCTCAGTCACAGTAGTGCTAACTGTAATACAAGGTTGCATCAGAGGTGAAGCTCCTTCTTAGAGTTGAGATAGATACAGCTCTCGTTAAACAAATTCTGAGAGGAAACTAAGCCATAAAGTTTCCTGGCAAGACTGCTTCAGTAAGTCCCAGAACTGCAGTTGTACTCTAGCATGTGATTTCTGAGGGTGAGGGGAAGGAAAGGCCCTAAAGGAAAGCAAAGCATGCTCAATCTGGTGCCTTCTGTAATGTAAATTTGTTTTTAAACAGGGTGGGTATCCCCTAGGTGCTGTGTGGTAAGCTTAGCGGGGACATAGGTAAGTCAAAACTAATGAGCAGAGAGCAATGCTTATTCTCTTCCTGGTATGACTTTTAGTAGATTTGTCCATTAAGGGCAAGTTTAAGTTTTCTTTGAGAACTTGCAGCAGACAAACAGGAACTGGAGCACAGTCTACTCTTACTCATAATCACTGAATGTTAAAGCTGACTGTTGGGTTTGCATGGCAAGGTTTGGGTGGTGGGGGCTACAGAGGTGGCTTCTGTGAGAAGCTGCTAGAAGCTTCCCCTGTGTCTGATAGAGCCAATGCCAGCCGGCTCCAATTCGACAGAGCCAATGCCAGCCGGCTCCAAGATGGACCCGCCGCTGGCCAAGGCCAAGCCAATCAGCGCCTCTGTGGTAACATATTTAAGAAAGAGAAAAACAGCTAGAGAGAGCTTTTTGCAGCTGGAGAGAGGAGTGAGAAGATGTAAGAAACTCTGCAGACACCAAGGTCAGTGCAGAAGGAGGGGGAGGAGGTGCTCCAGGCGCTGGAGCAGAGATTCCCCTGCAGCCCATGGTGAAGCAGGCTGTTCCCCTGCAGCCCATGGAGGAAGGATGAGGGGGTGTAGAGATTCCACCTGCAGTCCGTGGGGGACCTCACACCGGAGCAGGTGGAGGCACCTGAAGGAGGTTATGGCCCTTGTGGGAACCCCATGCTGGAGCAAGCTCCTGGCAGGACCTGTGGCCCCGTGGAGAGAGGAGCCCATGCCAGAGCAGGTTTGCTGGCAGGACTTGTGACCCTGTGGGGGACCCACGCTGGAGCAGTTTGCTCCTGAAGGTCTGCACCCCATGGGAGAGACTCTTGGAGAAGTTTGTGAAGGACTGTCTCTGGTTGTCACCAAAACCTGGGAATAAACCTCATAACACCAATGTAGTGTTAAAAGGCAGGCATTCTGTATTGCAGTGCTGGATGCATGGGGGATAGCTCCACCCAACGTGCATGCCAGGTGATCACCAACACACAGGTTATGTAGGATCAAAACACACATAATCATTGTTTTTCTCAGAAAAGGCAGTCCTATGATAATAATTTCTTGGAATTCATTTACATATTCTCCTCCCCATCACACATGCTCAGTGATTTGAGTTGATGGTCTTCAAGGGGTCTCTGGTGGTTGTCAGTGGTAACACACTTGTGTCCACTGGATAACCCTCTTGCAGGCATGCGCAGTATCCTTGCTGTGGGTGCACCTGTCCATAACAACTTCATAAGATTAATATCTCCAAACCTATTGTTCGGTTTGGTAGGGACTGTATATGGAACATCACAGCATTGTACCTTGCCATGGTCAGTTTGCTTCATTACCTATTACCTTGGTTACAATTACCTCAAACTGATTCTATAGTTTCTGTTTCACGGCCCCTATCCCACAGTTACACCATGAGAGGGACTCCATGCTGGAGCAGGAGAACGATGAGAGGAGTCCTCCCCCTGAGGATAAAGAAGTGGCAGAAACAACGTGTGATGAACTGACCGTAACCCCCATTCCCCGTCCCCCTGTGCTGCTGAGGGGGGCAGAGGTTGAAGCTGGGAGTGAAGTTGAGCCCAAGAAGATGGGAGGGGTGGGGGGAGGTGTTTTAAGATTTGATTTTATATCTCATTCCTCTACTCTGTTTTGCTTGGTAATAAATTGGATGAATTTCCTCTCGAAGTTCGGTCTGTTTTGCTCGTGATGATAATTAGTGAGTGATCTCTCCCTGTCCTTATCTCGACCCACAAGCTTTTCGTTATACTTTTTCTCCCCTGTCTACTTAAGGAGGGGGAGTGATAGAACGACTCTGGTGGGCACCTGGCCCTCAGCCAGGGTCAACCCACCACACTAAGCTGACCAAGCAGCTATTTAAATGTATTGGTATTTCTGTAATAGGATATTGTTTTGTGAAGGCATATTCGTAAGACTCAGTATAAATGTAGCTAAACATTTCTTAGTTCTTTAACTTTAAAATAGTTCTGGTCAATCTGATTTGCTTTTCATAAAGGCAGCTTAAAACTGCTGATTAATCCTCCTCTCAGTTGATTTGTAAATACAACTTGTGCTTGAGCTCTTTCTTGAAACTGCTGGGTTTTATCTAGTCATTGGTGAAAGGGCTTGCTATTAACTGGTGAAAATGTGACTTTTGATGTAAGAGTTAAAAAAACAAACCCACAACAAAACAGCCTTCTACTTTTAAAGGAAACTATCACTTGTCTAGCTAAGTAGCTAGTCTTGCTTCCACTTTGAGGTGATTTAGTGGGTAATTGGCATAGTCTAGGGTGTACCCCCACCACTCCTACAGCCATGTAGATAAGATGAAAATCTGAATGCTCAGTCTTAGGGAAAAATGTCCCACTACAGCTCATTAAAGATCTAACCCTGCAAAATTCAGCCTGTGCAGTCTTGGGGCCATATCAGATCTACTGCCTTTTCTCTTTAAGTGAAAAAGTAGGTATTTCTGGTCTGAACTGGATACAATCTATTCATAAATTAAACATATTTCATAGTGATGATGTCATTAAATAGAACTGAGCCACTTACATTTTTGGAGTTGCTGTTCTCTTGATAATTGGTTAGGGAGAAAGTTTAGTTCCAGCCCTATCCTCAGGGAGCATGCCCTGCAAGGAGCAACAATGGTAAAAAGCAAAAGCAGCTATTGCTCTCAGTCTTTCCACCAAATGCACAGAGTTATTTGCTAGAGTGGGAAGAAGCTGAGATTACTGATATTTTGACCATTTACTTTTTGAGAACTGTATTGGTTTTCCACTGCTAGGGTTTTTCACTTAAGGGTCAGAAGCTACCTCAGAAGATCCCTGTTCCCCTATGCTAACAGGAAAAATTCACTATGGCTGTTTGGCATTCCTCTTTGAGCTGTGATAGTGTTTTAAAAAGCAATTACCTGAAAATGTTACTTTGCAGATTAACTCTCCCCCACTTTGTGTGTCTCAAAACCTACTGCTATCAATAAGAATTTCTGCTTTTTCCTCCCTATTAACTTGGCTGAGCTCATGCTACAGCTTAAATGGTTTCACTCCTTCAGATGGATGTAATTATACTAGCTTATTATGGCTGTAGAAACCCCTCAAGGGCACTTGGGCTTGTGGCCATGTTGTCTGGGGACCTAATTTGTCCTGCAGTTCTCTTAGACATGATGGGAAGGAGAGGACCTAGCTTAATTCTGCCAGAGTTTAAAACTGGGAACTAAAGAATGCATCCTCTGACTTGCAAATAGAGGAGAAAGCAAATAAATTAATTCCCAGAATGAAAGTATT